TTGTCGATCGCTTCTAAAGGTCAACAAATAATATTAATGTATTTCTGTAGGACACTTGAAGCACACTGAATGTTCCTATCAATTAAAAACAAGGACATTTTAATAGTTAAATACCAATCAATAACCTTTCAAACAATAGATTCCTCTTATCATTTGGCAAACCAGTAAATAATCACTCGTTAAAGAGACTCAACGTAGTGGTATCTTAGTGTACGAAGTGATATCAACAAACTGATATAGTGGTGCATTACCACAATACTCTTCGCATGAGATAAACAAACACTTTGACTTATTCGACAATTATTAAAAATTACAATTAATAAGGTATATCGTCACAGCACTATTCTATTCCGTTCTATTCTATATATCTATTCTATCAACATCATTCTGGACACAATAATATTTCGGAGTATTTCATTTATCTTGTTTCACGCACAACAGTCTATTCAACTGTAGTACAAACTGTTCTCAACTCCATTATAACTGTTATATCATCTAAACACACACACACACACACCAAGCAACTGTCATCATGACCAAAATTGTAATTTTTTCATTTTCAGACCAAAAAAAAGAAACAAAACAAAATTCAACACTCAAACAATAGTCATTAATTAATATTGAAAGACCAATAGTTCACAATGTAGGCAACAAGAGAAAATAGACAAACTATTGAAACGACTCCATTTATATATGTATATCTTGAACGTATCATGAATGCATTCTGTTGTTGAATATTTTTCCAGTTAGTCGTGTGTGTGTTTGTGTGCGTGTGTGTGTGTGTGTGAGTTCCCGAATTACTTTCTCGTCGTTATGATCTATAGACTAATTAATTATTCTTTTATTTCAATATTTATTAGTCAATAAAATTTATTCATTCTCATATTTATTATATTTATGTAGACGTTTCAATAATTCAATATGAATTCATCATATCCCATGTGAATTTGTTTAAAATAAAACACAATGTTTGTTTGTTTCTAGTGTGTATTTAATTGTAAATGTCACAAATACGTAGCCCATTTTTTTTATTGGTTTAATTTATTAATTTCTAATAGTTGCGAAGTAGTTATGCGTTGAAAATTGAACAAAATTCTGTGCGTGTGTGTGTGCGCGTTGGCGTTTTGTTTTCATATCTTCAAACGTAATTTGTTACGTGTTCTTCTTTACACCAGTGTTAATTATGTAATTTCAAAGGGAGATTCTTCTCTGAGTGTGAATGTTTATTTTGTGTAATTAGTTAGGTGGACAACAGTTACAAGAACGTTTCATGGATTAGCATTTCAGGATTTTGAGTAGAGGAGATGGGAGTTAACGAGAGAACATATGTATTTCGACAAAAGACATAAGTTAGCAAACACTTGATGATCTAGGTAGTGTCTCTGATATTAGAATATGCAATCGGAATTGATGTGAATGACATGGCATCAGCACATCAAGATAATATTAAAATATGACAAGTCGCATTATTGATGGTTGCTGTGACGACCTCAAATGATCAGAATATTGATCTGGATCATCTATCATATAATGATGAAGTGTGTTGTATTGTGGAGAGTGAGAAGTGAAATGGAATAATATTTTTGAGTAATAGATTAATGTTTGGAAATTATTATTGGAGAGTAGAATTCACTTGTACAAATTCGATGGTTTCTTATCACATAAATCATTGTCAGTTGTGAATTTTGAGACTGACAATCAAGTGGTGTACATATTTCAGTATGCTTATCGGTTTTCATTACAATCGAGTTTGAATAATCTCAAGTTTCTTATTACAGTCATGTTTGATGAAAATGTAAGAGGATCGCGAGATTTCACTATTTTAGAAAACGAGATCATTGGTTACGAAGATGTATATTATTGTTGACAGATGCAGAGATACATTTCAGTCAATTTCTTTTGATCTTTAATTTTGTGAACTTGTTCATTTTAAACGAAAGATAATTGATTTGATCTCATTTGAAATCGAAAATACACGACAACATTGAATTATAATGGTGTATACTGTTATGTAGATTTCTTTGTCTCACGCTGTTTTGCAGTGCCATTATTTTAAATGTTAGTTGTTGTGTTTAACAGATCATTAATCTGGGAACATGGACCACTGAATACTCTGATAAGTGTCGGTAAAATGACCTATTGAATATGAAACCTGAACTTATTATGAACGAACTTTAGTGTTGTCATCAGTGAGCATTGTGGATGTGTTATATACTATATCGAAATATTCGATCAGCTCTGTGTTTGCAATGCAGTTTATTTTCCAAACATGTACAAATCGAAGCTCTTTTGAAACATTGTTTCTCAGTGAAAATATGTCATATTGGGACTTTCATGGATGCATACTACGTTAGTTATCGAATAAGCATTGATGCAATTCATACAGATGCTGGTGAACCGTGGACCATGATAGAAGAATCGTAAATGTTTCAATAAATAGAATTTGAATCCAGACTTTTTGTTTCTATGATGAGTGTTTTTCTACGTCATTAAAAGAAGTATTGAAATTAACGTTTGATTTTCGTGCATGTTTTGGCGGGAAGGTACTAGTCTTGGTTTTAAAAGTTGTATAACTCAGTGAATTCACGTAAATTTATGATGTCTCTCTTGTAGTGTCGGTTATTATATTAAGCCCATACACGTTATTCTAGCCCATTCTATTCATTCTACTTGAGTCACATTCTGACCTTGTTAATTATTCACTTATCAATCTTGAGTGATATTATATGAGCGCGTAGGTGTGTGTACATTTCTTATCCCATTACTCATTACATATCTGTAACTTACTTTTTGTAACTATAAATATTGATTAACGCTTGGTTACATGGGAATTGGCTTACCAGCCATCTCCACTGTGCGTCGTTTCTCCTCTCTATTCCATTCGCTTTATATACAAAATATATGTATTCACAAGTCCATTCTCGTTATTTGACTTATTTAATTCCTCTATTGACTGACGCGATTTAAGTCGATGATTATAAACGAGAATAGGCGACATATATATTTCAACAACAATCATCATTACGATATTCTTGGAGTCAGATCCATGGGCCACTAAAAGCTGTCACATGCTAACCTTTAGATACGTTGTGTTGGATAGCATTCTGAATGATTCCTCTCACTACCTTGCAGTTGTCAACAACTATCAGCCTATACCATTCTCGTGACCATGGGGCGTGATAAAGATGCTTCATTGTGGTAGCGTTTACCGCTCTATTGTAGCTGGGGTATGGAACATTCTCGTCCCACTCTAGTATTTCGTTTACGAGCACGGTGTGCATGACTGTATAATGCTCACAAAGGAGGAGATTTGGGTATGGCTCAACACTTTATTCAGAAATTGCGAGACTGATATCCCTTCCAACAATTAGATCAACAATTAACATAGATACATGATATATCCAGACAATGTGGGAGACTGGGTGGGCTACGTAAGTGAGGAGATATAACCCTGGTGGTGTTCAGAATAAGTGAAACCCATTGGATCCAAGCTGAACAGAAAATAGTAGCCTCGAAAGAGGTGCTATCGAACCCTGGCCATGAAGAAGAAAATGCTTCGAATTCACAAGTTGTTACATTGATGGTGTCCAAAGAAGCACGAAAAGCACGTATAGGATGGGAGTCTCATGGACGTAGAATCATCAAAGGATTCTTCGAAAAAAGGGGACTACAATGAATGCTATCCAGTGTTGTGCGCCTACCAATGGTAGCAACGAAGATGATAAAGATCAGTTTCATGAGGCTGCAGTTGATCGTAAAGACGAGCTCAGGAAAGGACCTGACCATATTGAGAGAAAACCGAAACGCTAAAGTCGTAATGTACAACATCGAGTATGATATTGTGGGACGACATGTAGTGGGAGAAAAGAACGACAATGCTAGGAGATTTGCAAATTCATGTGCTTTCAAAGAAATAGTTATGTGCCACCATATTCGCTCACAAACACATATACAAAGTTACATTGGTTTCACCGGATAGCACTACAGAACCCAATATCATGAGGAATCCAAAAACTTATCATCTGATACAGCCTAAAACTACATGTCGGTTATATGCTGAATAGACACTGATAGATTACAAGACTGGTTAGTGGACAGTATTCTAGCGTTTAAAGCAATACAAACTTGGCTCAAGTTCAACGTTATGACAATAAAACACGAATTCTGTGTTCCACTTTTAGCAGATATCGAAATGATTATAGAAGTTCCCCTGAAGCTAGTCGTTGTTGTCCAACCTGTGTCTAATGTGTTTCACTGATTTCAAATACCTCCAGGTTGAATCTCTTCATTTCTGCAGCAATTTGGATGACTCTCCCAGTCTCTCACATTGTACAAGCATTCTATTTTTTAAAATGTATTTTACCTCAATATATTTCGTAAGCAAATAATTTTAAAATGATTTCAACAATTACACAACTGTCCACACATTCAATGCATCTTGAAAACTCTTACATAGAACTAATAAATATCAAAGCAAAATTTTTAGATGGACGATAAATGCACATTTAATTTTAATTTCTTTAAAAAAAAACTTGTATTTACATCGAAATGTTGAAGGAGATCAACTTCATGCACTAATTAATAATAGCACAATTAAATAAATCAAAAAAATATAGCTGATTATAAAAACAAAATAAAAGTTTAAAGAGAATCTCATTACTACTGACGATGATAATAACAGTAGTCACTGAATTTGTACACACACACAAAAAAAAATAAGTAACAGCATTAATTACATTTGACTTTCTTTGTTATTCTGTGATGATTTAATTGGTGGATCCCATTTCAATCGATTGATATCCAATACAAAAGTGTTTTTATGCATCAATTTACGATTTTTCCGTTGTTCTTTACCATCTGTAGGAAAGGCTTTCATAGAATGTTCATCATTTAATTGATTCAAATATTGTTGTATAGTATCACGATGTAGGCATATTTGATGACCATGTTGCCAGTTATTAATAATTGGATGATATTGTAATGTCCAAATAATATCATCAATGGCAATACATGTTTTTGTACTAAAATGTAAAATGAACATATGAAATAAGAACTGATAGCAAATGTTTACATAAAGAAAGTTTGTGACTAATGGATTGTATTTTAACATAGACTGGTTTCATTTAAGGTAACAATTCATTGAAAGCTAAAGAGTATTGGCTAGCTGTTTTATGAGAATGATTCGCAATAATATAAAACAGGTTCACTCGTCAGAGACTTGAATAAGAGCCACAATCTAAGTGTGAGAGCTAATGATACTAACCGTTTAACTAAACCAAAATAGGTTTAGTGGGATTGGATCAGAAAGTGATTATCAATAAAAACTAGGTGTTATTCATCAAACAGCTGTCTCGTCTTAGTATGAGGACGATCGTTGGTGGAAAATTTGGGTGTGCACACTCCGGAACGTAGCCTACAAAAAGGTGTGTAGAAATCTAACTAACTACACTTGGAAGCTGGAATCATTAGATTGTGACGCGATGATCTAAAGATTATCTCTCCGCCGCCAAACCTAGGGAAGATCTCTGATCGAATACCAATGCTGAAGAGTATGAGACTAGCATGAAACATCTCCTAAGTGCTTCCTTATATTCTCTCAACTGTTTATCAAATGAAACAGGTTCATGTTGTGCAAAAAATCTGAAGAGTTTAATTAATTAATATTTATTTCTACCTCATAACACGTGAGCAGAGAAAAGTTATTTAGTCTGTAGGTATAATGACACAAGTTTGAATCCCATAAGGAGCACTATTTCTCTCAAGATTCCACGTAATTCAAACTGACAAGTGCCAACTGGCACAAAACTTAGATCCATGGTTTCTCATTAACTAACTCTATCAAAACACATAATAAGGTTAGTGAAACAAGAGAGAACAAAAACTCCACAATTACATGCTCAGATCTGGATATTTTGGTTGGTTCATTTTCATCAGTGCTGGTGGACAGGGTAAATCAAGAATATGGAAGATTCTTCTGTGAATACTATGCGAAACCCATCTTTTTATTACTGAATGTCCTGTGGTTTTGGTTGTTCGGAATATTACTTCCTTGTTTGCTTCTTATTTGGATCAAGTGAATGTATAGTATCAATTAAAAAACTGAAAACAAGTGAATGTAATGGACAAAAAAGTACTATCTATTTATTTAGGCAAAATACAACTACTCTTAAACATTTGTAAGCTTACCTTAATTCATTCATTGTACAATTAGGATTTTCTAATAGAAAATTCAATATAACCTTTTCCCAATAACTACGATAACTTAAACGACCTAAATCGGAGAGAGGTTTCTCTGGTGTACCAACAATTTGTTCAATTTTAGCTAATTCATAACCTGAACAAAGAAAATAACAAAAACAATAGCAAAACAAATAGATGCGATTAAATTAAGTGAATGAAATTGTGTACAACTTAGCCGCTACCTTAACGCAGTGATCAGACTTGCTGAACGTGATGACTTACCTGAGCTATATTGGCTGGAACACATGCTTTTTTAGGTCCTACCATGCCAGACAGGTCAGTTGGAGAAGGATGGTAGTAAAAGCAGGAACTTAAAATTTAAGGGTGAAGTCATATTGTATACTGTAGAGCGATGTGACAACAGTAAGGTGTTTTTCTCGGATAATCAGCATCTGCAGTAAAATGAAAAACGCCCTCATACCTCTAGGAGCACCCGAGAACATCATGTTCATGACCGAATTCCTACAATCAATTCTGCTCGTATATCTTTATCCTCACGTGTCACCAATGCTAATGATTTGAGCTCACGAAATATTATTTTTGGTATCCGGAAACCACACTCCAAACTGCATTGAATGGTCAAACCTTGTATCATATAGGGCAACAGGCTTCTTAAGCTAAGAAGCTAAATTCTCGCACCATCAATGTGCTTTGTCTCTGAAACACACATACAGGATCCAAGTATTGTCATTTACTTGACCCCACCTTCCCAATCTAAAGAACTGGCACGATTTACATTTATGTATCTGGAGTCCTCACTGTTCATTCCCGTGACCTCGTCGGTATATGTACGGCATTAAGTTTGGAAGCACAACAGGCTTTCCTAGAATGTATGCTAAAAGACAGTCGTTTTTGTGCTGTCCAAATAAACTGGACAGTAAGCACTCAAAAATATAGGGACACGTGCCGTTGTCTTTTCATTGTCTCTGCCTACGATCACACAGATTCGGATGAAGTAAGAGATGAATTTTATAAAAAGCTATCCAGCCTCCTTCAAAAAGCAAAACACTGATGTAATTGAATGTAACTGAATGTGAATATTGTGGGTTGAAAGTTCCAATATTGTACAGTTCTGACAAAAAAATATTTTGCAGAAACCATTTATAAACTGTTAACAAGGTCTGCATATTATCGAATCAGACGACTTTAAACAATGGAAGGATGATAAATATAGTTTCAATTACTCATTACCCACTTATTATCATAAGTATTTCCTGTCTAAAAGTATCACTATAAAAAATATATTGGTATCAAGGATATATATACAGAAAGAGATGCATGGATACAAACAACCAAATACATAGACAAGATATGAACTAGTACAAATATCTATCGGTCTAAATCGTCACAAGTTACGCCGGTACATAGACAGAAAAACGACAAGAAAAGCTGAAGAACGAAAAATATTATTTAAGCTAACAAAGCAAAATTAGTGAATTTAGGCTGCATCGAGACATAATTCATTCAAAATTACATACACCGAATGTTTTCATAAACGAAGTCATTTAATTATGCTAAAAAAGAAGCATAACAATCACAATGTATAAATATGAGAGAAACTCACTGAGACTAATTAAGAAATGACCATATCCACGACGTTGAAATGGTGGTAAAGTTAAGATACATGCAAGATTATAATTATCAGCAGATACTTTTTCCTGAAAAAAAAATGGAAAAAGAAAATATTTTAGAAAGGAAAGACGAGGTAGGATTTGCTTAATATTTCAACATACAGAGCACAAATTGGTTGATTGATATGTAACATAGCTGATTTTTTTATGTCCCATAGAATGCTCTAAAGACATGACATATAAATATTATATTATCAACTCATTTGCCAAATACAGACTCATGAACTTGGTTTTAAGTTGCATTCTAAGTGTGAGGGACAGTGATCGTACCCAAATGATCAAATAGAAATAAGTAGAGGGTCCTTCAAGTATGCATCTTAGTGGATAAACATTGAACACATTAACTACTGGGTCACCGTGCCAAACATAACTACTAAAATAGACAACATTGATGACTTTCAAATACTTGAATCTCATTACTTAATTTTAATGAAATCACACAACAAATAAACAATTAAAATTAAAATGTACATTCATCATAAATTAAATAGTGTGATAGAAATCGGCTACTAAGTATGTAGCACACATCAGATGAAGAAATTATATTTGAGCTAATCTCAGCAATTGAAATTTAAATAATTATAAAGTTTCACTTGAGCAAACTCCGCCTGGAGTCCCTCCGGGGGCTACTGCCCGTCCCAAGCCCGGATAAAGGAGGAGGGTTGGGTATGGGGTTAGCGTCCCCATCCCGTAGAAAACTAACTCGCTAAAAAAACGCTAACCAGAAAAAGTTATTTCAACCTTTTAAACTCTGCCCCGGGAGTCAGAAAGTCTTCATTTAGAAGAATTATGACGCCTCATGATGAAAGCCGAATTCCTTCGGAAATTACGAGGCCGATGCCCCTTCTGACAACCAGAGCGACCATTTATTTAGGTACATGGAATATTCGTACAATGTGGGACACCGGGAGAGCCTTCCAAATTGCTGCAGAAACGAGGAGATACAACCTAGTGTTGCTTGGGATCAGTGAAACACATTGGACGCAAGTTAGACAACAACGACTAGCTTCAGGGGAGCTTATGTTATACTCCAGCCATGAAGATGAAAATGCACCACATACACAAGGAGTTGCATTGATGCTGTCCAAACAAGCACAAAAGGCACTTATAGGATGGGAATCTCATGAACCAAGGATCATCAAAGCCTCCTTCAAACACAAAGAAAGAGGGCATTTCAATGAACGTCATCCAATGCTATGCGCCTACCAACGACTACAATGAAGACACTAAAGATCAATTCTACAATAGGCTGCAGTCAATCGTCGAGAAGTGCCCAACAAAGGACCTGACTATTCTGATGGGAGATTTCAATGCCAAGGTTGGAACGGACAACACTGGATATGAAGACATCATGGGACGACACGGACTGGGAGAAAGAAACGAAAATGGTGAGAGATTTGCAAATCTATGTGCCTTCAATAAGCTGGTCATAGGCGGCACCATATTCCCACATAAACGCATACACAAAACCACATGGACTTCACCGGATCACACTACCAAAACCAAATCGACCATATTTGCATCAACAAAACGTTCAGGAGGACTATAGAGGACGTGAGAACCAAGAGAGGAGCTGATATAGCATCAGATCATCACTTGCTGGTCGTCAAGATGAAATTGAAACTCAAGAAGCACTGGACAACGGGGCGGACAATATCACAAAAGTTCAATACGGCCTTTCTTCAGGATACTAACAAACTCAACAAATTCAAGATAGTCCTCAGCAACAAGTTCCAGGCCTTTCATGATCTACTCAATGGAGAAGGAACTACTGTGGAGAGCAACTGGAAGGGGATCAAAGAGGCAATCACTTCAACATGTCATGAGGTCCTGGGTCACAAGAAGCACCATCACAAGGAATGGATCACTGTTGATACACTGGATAAGATTCAAGAAAGAAGGAACAAGAAGGCAGCAATCAATACCAGTCGAACAAGAGCAGAAAAAGCCAAGGCACAAGCTGAATACACAGAAGTAAACAAACAAGTGAAGAGGAGCATCAGAACCGACAAACGTAAATATGTGGAAGATTTAGCAACGACGGCGGAAAAGGCTGCAAGAGAAGGAAACATGAGACAACTGTATGACACGACAAAGAAACTCTCTGGAAATCGCCGCAAACCAGAACGACCAGTGAAAAGCAAGGAAGGCGAGGTAATCACCAACATTGAAGAGCAACAAAACAGGTGGGTAGAACACTTCAAAGAACTCTTGAATCGACCAGCTCCACTGAACCCACCCAACATCGAAGCAGCACCCACGGACCTCCCAATCAATGTTGGCCCACCAACAATTGAAGAAATCAGCATGGCCATCAGACAAATCAAGAGTGGCAAAGCAGCAGGACCGGACAACATTCCAGCAGAGGCACTAAAAGCAGACGTAGCGGCAACTGCAAGGATACTCCACATTCTCTTCAATAAGATTTGGGATGAGGAACAAGTACCAAAAGACTGGAAAGAAGGACTTCTGATCAAAATACCGAAGAAAGGCGATCTCAGCAAGTGTGATAACTACAGGGGCATCACTCTTCTCTCAATACCGGGAAAAGTCTTCAACAGGGTATTGTTAAACAGGATGAAGGACTGCGTAGACGCCCAACTTCGTGACCAACAGGCAGGATTCCGTAAGGATAGATCGTGTACAGACCAAATCGCAACTCTACGGATCATTGTGGAACAATCAATTGAATGGAATTCATCACTCTACATCAACTTCATTGACTACGAAAAGGCATTTGATAGCGTGGACAGAACAACACTATGGAAACTTCTTCGACACTACGGCGTGCCTCAGAAGATAGTCAATATCATACAGAATTCATATGATGGATTAAACTGCAAAATCGTGCATGGAGGACAGTTGACAAAGTCGTTCGAAGTGAAGACCGGTGTTAGGCAAGGTTGCTTACTCTCACCCTTTCTCTTTCTCCTGGTGATCGACTGGATCATGAAGACGTCAACGTCTGAAGGGAAGCACGGGATACAATGGACATCTAGGATGCAGTTGGACGATCTAGACTTCGCAGATGATCTGGCCCTTCTATCCCAAACGCAACAACAGATGCAGGAGAAGACGACAGTGTGGCAGCAGCCTCAGCAGCAGTAGGTCTCAATATACACAAAGGGAAAAGCAGGATTCTCCGATACAACACAGAATGCACCAATCCAATCACAATTGACGGAGAAGATTTGGAAGATGTAAAAACCTTTACATATTTGGGCAGCATCATTGATGAACAGGGTGGATCTGATGCAGATGTGAAGGCGCGGATCGGCAAAGCAAGAGCAGCATATTTACAACTGAGGAACATCTGGAATTCAAAGCAACTGTCAACCAACACCAAGGTCAGGATTTTCAATACAAATGTCAAGACAGTTCTACTGTATGGGGCAGAAACCTGGAGAACTACGAAAGCCATCATCCAGAAAATACAGGTGTTTATTAACAGTTGTCTACGCAAAATACTTCAGATCCGTTGGCCGGACACTATTAGCAACAACGTACTGTGGGAGAGAACAAACCAGATCCCAGCGAAGGAAGAAATCAGGAAGAAGCGCTGGAAGTGGATAGGACACACATTGAGGAAAGCACCCAACTGCGTCACAAGACAAGCCCTCACATGGAATCCTGAAGGCCAAAGGAAAAGAGGAATACCAAAGAACACATTACGCCGAGAAATGGAGTTAGACATGAGAAAAATGAACAAGAATTGGATGGAACTAGAAAGGAAGGCCCAGGACAGAGTGGGTTGGAGAATGCTGGTCAGCGGCCTATGCTCCATTGGGAGTAACAGGCGTAAGTAAGTAAAGTAAGTTCACCTGAGCAACTGACCTGAACTTCAGTGAAATAATCAAAATCAGAACTACCAGAGATTAAGATTAAAAGCAAGTCTACACTAAACATTTAGCCTGTTATGTTTAAATGTTTATTTTGCGAACAGTATTAACACGAAATTCATAAGGGCTCTATGCATACGTTCTTTCAGTAATGTCCTTAAAGCTGCGACAGCTATTTTGACTGACGAAACGGAATTATTAAATAAATTGACCGTTGAAAATCTGGGAAAAAAACATGTTAGTGTAAACAATGTAGACTAAAAGCACAGTGATTGCGCTAGTTGTGATTTTTCTTTGATCATTTTTCTTTAAGTTCAGACCAGTTTCTTGGGTGAAACAATGGAATTTCAGTTGATAGGATCGTTTCAAATATAAATTCTACATCGAAAATTAAGTGCAGTTAAACAATACAAGCAAATCAAACTAAGTGAATCACGTGTGGAATTATACTTAAAGGTTACCATTGGAGCCGACGTTGAATAGTATGTCAATGCAAAAGCAATCATAGAATATAGTGTGTATAGCTACCTACAAAGGCCTTCAGAATGACCTTCAAAAAACTGAATATATTTTTTCTACAAAAAAAGTTCATAAGATAACAAAAATATGGTTGCAGTTCTTAGATTGACAATTTTTCTAAATCAATACACAATTAACTGATCCAGCTACAATCTTTGTCTTTTTATTGATCAATGTATAATACATTATTTTAATCATAATTTCTTACAATCTACTTCTTTACTTTTTGAGAAAAACTCCATTTTCATGTTTCATTTTATACTTCTGAAGACACTTGTGTCACCGAAAACTGATACATGAAATAATGGAGAAGTATAGGACAAATCTATTGAAATAGTTCCTGGCATTTACAAATCTTGAATAGCATAAAATACATATAATCTTCAAATATTGTGGTCACAAAACACATTCAGACGATTAAGTAAGGACTCATTTATATACATGTTCAGATTTAGTTATTCTAGTGATATGATGCGATCACTACTCACTGTTATCAGATTGTTAATACCTCACTTTGAACACCAAACCATAACTGTTACCTTGATGTGGTGGTCGAGGTTGCCCACCGTGATAACTTCATCGGGCTATATTGATTATAGCAATTTTTTCTTTATATCCTACCATCCCGAGATGGTTGACTGGAGGGCGATAAGACCAAAAGAAACGAAACTTACGGTCCAAGGGTGAAACGGTAGTGCTGATTGTACAAGGATGCGATGCTAGTAAGGTATTTCCTTCAGACAACCAGTATCTGCAGTAATGCGGACTTCCCAAAGAGGAAGAAGGGGAGTAGGAATGGTCAACCCTAAAAATACCGTAACACATTCTCTTCTATGGACAGCCAATACGTAGGAAAGATTACATGAATACAGGCAGTGTGTGACGTATGATTATAGTCCCAGGTCGTCGAAATCACCGCTTGTCCAGTTCCCGTTTCAGATGACTTAAGAATAATCGTTGCACGGCACAGGCATTCGGTTAGGGACAGCCGGTCACACTCCTTTGACAGTACTACAGATCCCGTCAATTGATCTACTATTCCTTACTTTTCTCATTGTTTTTAATCATTTTCAGGATTGTTAACATGTCTTCTTACTAATGAAAGTCGCTTAGAACAAGTACAAACCCAGCTACTTAAAATTTCAGCCACAATTCAGTTTTGAAGATCAATGATGCTATATTTGACTGCTGAGACTGAAACCAGTTGAGCAAAGTACTAACCCGTACCTCAATCACCAAGTCGAAGTACTTCATCATTATTATGTTTTATATTTAAAACGCCAACTGGTGAGTAAGAATTTGATTTCTTACATAATGAGAAATAAGAACGACAAGATGAGTACAAATTACCTTGGAAAAATAACCAACAAGGTGTACTCCATCATTGTCTATCTCACATAGAACATAGAATATAAATGGTGAGACATTATAATAAAGTGTTTTATGATCTAGAAACAATTTGGCCAACAAACATAGATTTTGACAGTAAAGCTGTAAAGAAAAAAAGATAAAAGCGAAAAAGGATAACGTCATTTCTTTCTTGAACAGTGAACACAAGACTTATCTATAAAGACGATACTACCATTGTGAAATAACATGAAATATAATACAAAGCTAAACTTGTTAGGCATCTACGGCGTTTGCCGAGTTCATGTACAATCAGAAAACAGCGCCTCCTAAAATGGATATATAGTTATTTACAACAACATACGATTATATATGTGACAGCTAATAGCTGTGTCAAAAATATAATGAGATAACGTCAAAAGAAAAATGAAGAACATCAAAACATGGAGACTGTTATAATAAAATAAACACTCATCAGATACACTGGAAAATATTTATTCCTGGTATTAAGAAGGTGTGACTATAATAATAAGTAAGTTGAATATAATCAGCTTATATGTATACTTAAGAAAACGATGTGATTACAAGTATACGTCAAACTATGTGTTCAAAAGTTGCTAATGATGAAACGTGTTACTAAAAATTAATAAGTAGTACAGCATATTACAAAGAAGCAAGAGAAATCAGAAAACAAGGACAATGAAAGTGAACTTAGCATACATATTTGCGCTTTTGTTGTTGCTGAGGTCTCTGAACTGGATGATTTAATTATTGACAGAGCTCATTGTCATCTTGGACAATATCATCAATCGCTACTTCAAGTCGAAGGCCCTGGTGGTGTTGATCAGAATGACAATGGACGGCAAATCTTTGTTTCCACTTACCTTTTAATTTGTCTAAATGGTCTTTTATTTTTATATAAAATGTCTTAATATGAGACACCACGTTGATAACATGATTCAATTAACGGTAGGATAATTACATCAATTTTTTTCATAGATTGAACTTTATCCAGTTTAGGGATCAAATTCTTGATATGATATCGTCAATGTAATCATTTATAAATCAATGATAAATAGTATTACAGATCACAGCACCAACACTAATGGTTTGGTTGATCCAACGTGACTAGTTATATCCGAAAAAACTCACAATCACATAGAGAGAAGATGGATGATGAAATTACTAAGAAACTAGTTGACTAAATTAGGTTTTAACACAACTTTCATATAGTTATCTTTATATAGAAAAATTTATTCACTGGTTCAACACGCGACCTTATTAATGATAACTTTTATAGAATCCATTGTTCATCACCAAGAGAGTAATACCGAGGTTCGACATATTTTCAGCACACTCAGCCATAGATCCCGCCTACATATTTATGCTTAGATGGCTACAATCTTTGGGTTAACTAAAGTTTTTAAAACTAATTAATTACTTGATAGAAGCAACATAACCAATTATCATATTAAGATATTTGAAAGAGATACTCTACTCTATAAAGATATAAGAACTGCCACAAGCACAATCGATGTGGCATGTTCTGGAGCGTGTCTAAAGCTAACAACAACTGTCGAATTTTCAACAAATACGACTGATAGATAGGTTCAAAACCTGGATGGAAGTTGGTGTGCAAGTTCACATAGGTTCGAAGCGATCTTTGTGTGTAGTGAAACGATCAAATCAACAACTCTGAGATTAAGTGTAAGTTATGTACGAATTACAAATGGCAGGTTCTGCCTTGGCCAATGGGACTTGGGGTACAGTAGCATAAATCGTAACCAATCGAAAACAATAAAACCACTTTCATCAACAATAGCGAAACATAACGTATACCTTTTGTATATTGCCATCTAATTCAAAAACGCATAGATTTCCATGATTGTATATTTCTTTACCAGGAGGTCGTTTTGCTTTACAATCATATTTTATATGGTTTAACCATGTTTCTGAATACTTCATATATTTTAAACAATATTCACATATCCATAACTTTTTCACTTGTCTAAATTCTTCGGGATAAGGTGAAAAATACCATGTGTCAATTTCGTACTTGCCAAATTGTATCTGATCAATAAATTTTACTCGAGTAAACTGACAAGTAAAGTTCAAACACAGAATAATTAAAATGAGAAATAAAAATTTTACACGGACATGATATAAGCTAAAACAGTATAATTGAGCTATCAGCTGACAGGTTCAATTAATATTAACATAATTCGCACTTATACAGTCAGTCAGTCAGTCAGCTACAACGTAGGACCAGGCACATATGTGCATCGGTCCAGGTTGCCATACCACATCAGCACAACAAGATGAACACCGGATTCACAGAAGTGGTTAGGTCAAAGGTGGTAATATATAAGAGAAAGATTGCATATAGAGATATAGTACAAGAAGAAAGAATTGGTTCGTAGAAAGAAAGATGTGAAGCGATTTTAATCTCTTAGTTTAAGAGAAGACAGGGAGTGTATACACCGACGCCATTGTGATCGATTCTGAGCCATGTCACACACAGTCTCCAACCATTGGTTACGAAAGTCACGTTGACCCCAACCAAGTAGTCTGCATCTACCAACATGGCTCAGACTAGAAGTTAGTGACTTCAGGCACTGATGCCACGTTTTGGTTTGGCCGCCCCTAACTTTCTTCCAACCATCTCCAACACCGGTTAGCATTGCACGTCGTGGTAATCGGTGTTCAGGCATACGTAACACGTGGCCCAACGATCCCAGTCGATGAAGATTCATAACCTCACCAACTGATTTACCATCATTCCCTAATACTCTGCGTCGAACCTCACCATTACTTACCCGGTGATCCCAGCAGATGCCAGCAATATTTCCAAGGCATCTGTGGTCAAATACTAATAGCTTACGAGTGTCTTCTACTCTCAATAGCCATGTTTCGCTGCTGCAAAGTAAAACCGCCGCGCAGTATACTCGTCCATTTATTGATAGACGGATATCTCGCCTTCGCCAAAGGTGACGTAAGTTAGCAAAAGCCAAACGAGCTTTTCGAATCCGTGCTGAGATTTCGTCAAACACCAACCCATTAGGGCTGATCAGACTTCCGAGATAAGTGAAGTTGTCAACACGTTCGACTACTTCACTGCCTATCCTTAGTTCAGGTGTTGACGCAGACCAGTCCTGAAGCAACAACTTGCATTTAGAGGGAGCACTTATACAGACTTCTCTGAGATAGTTGATTTACATGGCGGCACTTGTGTCACAGACGGACAAACGTCCAGGGGGCTTTTAGTGTCCGCGACAAGATCTAGCCATTCAATAACTCACAATAGGAATAAGGATTTTAAGATGTGTTGTGTAGTTAACATGATAGACTACTCCACTCAGTATAGTCAAACTAAGTATTGATCAAGACCAATTCTGAAGTAAAATCTTGCATTCAATGGGAAATAAAAGTATACTTAATCCTGTTAACTAATTATAATTATCACATATGCAAGAAAGATTCTATTCCAAAAACAAACGAAGTGTGAATACTAAACGTACATTTTCACGGTCAGATCATAAGACTTATTCTATTTATTAATTATTCCAATGGTTAATATCATGAGTCAGTTGAAGCTAGACCATCTGGAAGCACTGGACGGCCGTTCTGTCCTATTGTGGGACTCCCCAGCAGTGCGCACCCACGACCCTGCCCCCTGCGAGACTCGAACCCAGGACCTACTGGTTTCGCGCGAGAGCACTTAGCCACTAGACCACTGAGCCGGCATCTAACGGTGTTAATGTCTAACTTCAACTAATCCACGAAATTGAGCGACACATCCGCCATTGTCCCACAAGAGGACGAAACGGCCGTTCAGTGCTTCCAGGTTTTCCATGGTGATCTAGCTTTAAATGACTAATGATCTTAACCATTGAAATTACTATAATATCCACAAAACCCATCTGATGTTATTTATTCACTTAAACATAAACATTGTTACAAAGAGGAACCAAACAGATATGCGCCACATAATTCATTCGATTTGTGTGAACTAGGATACTGCCCGGGTGACCAAACCGAAGCAGGTGGTCTACTTAGAGGGTCACACCCCGAGCCTTTGACCTGAAGGTCTAATCCGTAAGAGGGTGAAGCAACGTCAGGAGATGCAGTCCCATGGTGGCCGGTGACCAACAATTGGTTCATACGCCACTTGTTTCCATAGGATCCTGGAGCCCATGTGCACCATTGGTTTAGAATCAGGGTTTTCCTACTCTCCTAGGTGAATCCACCATAAGCACTGACCCGGTTAAAGCGCCGGACATTCGCTTTTCGTCCTCTCAATTTTGTAAACAACTCTCCAGTCGGCAGAAGGCGGTGAGTAGAACTTCCCTGGCAGTGGTTGTATGCACGTGGCCATGTGGGAGCATTTAGAGAGGGAGATGACTCTCCCCACTCTTGGCCGTACCAGGGCAGAAAATATTCCGATATTCCGAGCTAATATTTTAGGCCCTATATTAAATAACACAACTCTGTGTTCATCACAAAAGTACTTTCACCATTTTATTTAGACTGGGACGATCAGCGACTGTGGTCATTCTAGATTTCAAGGGATTACTCTACACCTAAAGTCTACCTGTTTTGCCGTCTCGACCAGCTATTTGTCAATACATAGAGAAATGCAGAGTAGACTACTTATAATTAAACTCGTTGATAATGTAAGGAACTCATGGTAATTTATTTCTAAAGGTCAAGAAGACATCGAAAAATTTGACTAAGGAAACTTTCAAACACATAATAGTCACCAGTCGCTTACATCGTGAAAACTGATATTTTGTCTAAAGTGCCTAAAAGAACAGTTGAATTAGTTCCAAAATGACATCAGCTTGCGGACGATCACATACAGCCTTTTACATGATCATTTGTAAGTTCTATCTGCTCTACATCTGGAAGTATTAGACTAAGTTAACTGAAAAAATGATGAGATAGAGAAATGATAATTCATTTGGCAGTTGCAAGTTAGTGTACTTGACTTCAAGTCACATCCTAACTGTGAGGGTTAGTGATACTAAGCCAAAACAATTGGAGCGGGATTCGAACCCGCAGCTTTGTGGCTCGAAATTGTACGTCTTAACGACTAACCTACCATTTCATTCTAGAGAGAACTAGTTAGAATAAAACCTATTAGTCTAGAACGTAACAACATTGATTTAATGGATGTTATCATTGTTATTTTCCCAAATGTTACAAATCTATTACTAGGACCATTTTTAGTAGAGCTATTCCCGCAAAATAAAACAGTATTTTGTGGTAAAAACTCATTGTAAAAGAAACAAACTCAATGGAGAAATTGAAGCGCGATTATCAAAGTTATGCGAATTAACTTTTTCAAAAAAAACCTTACTTCTTGATATTCAAGCTCCAATTTTTGCGTAGTAGAGTCTAAAGAGTCACTTTCCTGTGAATAAGAAAAAATATATATGACAACAATCAAACCAAAAAGCATGTGACAACAAACACATGAAATGAAGAAAACAACATGGCAAAAGAAAGAAATCACATACACAACAAACATGCAAAACATTTGTGGAGTGAGAATCAGATCATTTATTTGATCATTCAATCATAATCAACTGACAGCCTAAAGTAAATGTGCGTTGGGTGAATTTGATACACTACGTCAGCAAGATAAGAATGAACTAATAACATGAATAAGAAATGGATAAAAATGATGTAACAACCATAATGACAAACACATGATACGAGGAGGAATATGTGAAGGGATAGTGGAACTAAAAACCTAGAGCAGGCAGAGAGTAAATGCACTTATGGCATTGTGACTGATTCTGAAGTATATCATCGAACCTCAACTCCTGATTGCGGACCCCATAAAGGTAGTATCTACCGACACCATTCAGGTCAACAGCTATTACTTTCATGGACTGATACCACGTTTTGATTTACCTGTCCCTAGCTTTCTTCCAACCTACTACTAGGTCGGCTAAAAACAACTCTTAGGGTAGTAGACGGTTGAGAATGCGTAACGCGAGTTCGAACCATCTCAGTCGATGAAGATTCACAACCCCACTGAGTTACCATTTTTTCCTTCTACGCTATGGTTAACCCAATTCTTTACTTCGCTGTTATGTAAACTAATAATTTACAACTCACTTGAAGAACTTTGGAAGTTTCTTCCAACTTTCGTTTCTGATTTCTGGTGAATCGGACATCACACCCAGCAGAATCTGTTAACTGGTTAAGAGACGACTCGCATGAAATTTTAAGCTTTGCAGAACAGTCAATTCGTTCAGATGTAACCCATTCATCTAATCTACGGTCGTCTGGATAAACGTAACAATTAAACAAGTAAAATAACATACGATTGCAATAATGAACATAATATTCTTTATTCCCATTACCATCTATACGACCTTCAATTACAGCGGCAGGATCTATGTCAAGAGGAAGTAAGTTTCAAAATACTATGGACGTTACAGTATTGACCAGTAGATCGTAAAACTTTATATACTTCTCCAATTTGTATATCTGGATCAAGTGTTGACACTTTTAGATCAATATCATCAGTCGGATTATGAACCATCCTCTTTTCCACCTAAAACGTTGAAACCCAATAGACTTAGTTACATAAATACTTTCGCCTACAAACAAATATTTCAATTAGAGAAGTAATATGACGGAAGACATGTATTTATGGGTGGAGTAGTAGCTAGGACTGAAACGTTTCAAACAAAAACCAACATAATCCTCCTACGACAAAAGAACAGCATTTCCAACTTTGCATGATCCAAGCACTAAAGTCAGCTAAACATGATTTTTCGAAACAATCTTTGCTCATACATACCAGTATTACTTTACTGGTTTACCTACAAATACATAAATTAATGGTAATGGACAAAATAAACTGAGTTAGTTTCGCGCTGAGAAGTACCTACCATTTTTGTATTGGATGTGAATGACTTAAAAAGTTATTACATGACGGTTAGCACTATATCGTAAGATATAATCATGCTATTAGACGACAATCACATGTTACATTTAAAACGCGCCGTAAGTTTTTTGTGTACATATATAAATTATCTAGAATTTGACTATGAGTGAGAGTAAATGGTTCAAGAAGCTTGTACTTTGTACGGATATAAGCGGTGTAAAACGCAGTAATTAGTCAATCAGCTACAACGTAGGACCAGACACATATATTCATCGGTCCAAGTTACCAAACTGATCAATTGACATAAATATACAATAAAATACGTGAAAACGTAGCACTTTACGGAATGTATCAACATATGATTAGTACTTTGACTCCCTTATGTTAAACAAAAAAAACAGGTATATTATCCAAGTGCGAATTTCTCATAACATGATGATGAACTGCTTCTATATAAGTTGGACTACAGTTAACTACTGAGGAAATATGATCAACTTCCGTCTAAATAACTTTGTACTACGGTTATCACTTACAGCACAAACAGGAAGCATGCAATTACTTAGGCTTATATATTTGATGAGATTTTGGTTTGACTAGCGTAACGGCACAAGCACACACAAATCAGTGTAGTGAAAAGATTATGAGGAATTTAGAAACTTGGAATTTAAGAAGACGAAGAGTGGATGGACCCGTGCAATTGTACACGATCTATACTGTCGTTTAGAGTCTCTGATCATTAGCTACGATATTCACGCGGACCTGTTAAAATGGCTTCATTCGATCGTTAATTGGACTGGTGTCACGTTTTGATTTGATTGCGCATGGTTTTCTTCCTACCTAATCTTACATCAGACACGGCGAGACCATAATTTATGGACGAACCAATTACGTGTAAAGTAACAGGTCTCCAACTTTGACGCGAAATTCACTCATCCATTTGTATAAATATATTAAATTGTAGCGGATCGCCTCAGGCCAAATGGTTCAAATGGTTGTGGACGGAATAGAAGAAGCTTTCGCTTAACAGGCTTCCGTGTCTAGTAGCAGGGGATCACCAAATCCTCCAGGCAGGAACCTAGGTATGTTAACAATAAAAGAGGAAAAGAAATTGGTAAATCATAGTGCGATGCTGTCCTTGGTCCTTAAGAATAGGTCAAGTTGCCTCTTGAAGGACTCCTGAGAAGTCGCTTGGACTAGCTCGGCCGGCAGCGAATTCCAGCTTTTGACAACTCTTAAGGAGTAGAAGTTGTGTCTACATTCCGTCTTGCTATGTTGTGTTTCCAGTTTCTGGGTGTTACCCCTTAGGTTATTGTTCGAACTAAGCTTAAGTAGGTGTTTAAGAGGATGTCCAGAAGTGTTAAGAATACTATAAGCCATTAATAAATCACCTCTAAGACGCCTATATTCTAGTGGGTAAAGGTCTAGTGAACGGAGGCGTTCTTCGTAAGGCTTAGATTTGAGTCCTCGAACTGATTTCGTGGCTCGCCGTTGGATACGCTCCAAAGTGACCTTATCCTTTTGGAGTGAGGGGGGAGTACTATGTTTCCGTACTCTAAATGGGGACGGATGAAACTATTGAAGATTGTGTGGAAAGTTCTTCCGTCAAACTGACCAAAAATGCGCCTCAACGTTACCAGTGCAAGGTTTGCTCGGAAGGCATTTTTGTCACAGTTAGCGTAAGACTTTAAGTCATGGGGCACCAGGACTCCTAAATCTTTTTCGACTTGGGATACTACTAGAGAGGAGTTTCCTAAGTTGTAACTGTAGTTTGCGACATGTCGCAGATGGACTACTTTACACTTAGAAGTGTTAAAGGTAAGTCCGTTATCGTCTGCCCAACTATGAAGTCGAGTCAGATCCTCTTGAAGAGCCTGTATATCGTCTTGGTTGCGTATCTCTCTCCAAAGTTTCACGTCGTCGGCAAAAAGTAATAAGTCTGACGTTACCTGTTGAGGAAGATCATTTATGTAAATCAAGAAGAGAAGAGGCCCTAGTACTGAGCCCTGGGGGACCCCACTAGGACATTCCATAGCTTGAGATAAAGTGAAATTAACCCTAACCTTAAAGTGTCGATTTTTTAGGTATGAAGTAAGCCAGTCGATTAGAGGTGGTTTGATACCTAGTCGTTTGAGCTTGTTGATAAGACACAAGTGGTTAACCTTATCAAAAGCTTTTGAGAAATCAAGGTAAATGACATCAACCTTTCCCTTGCGATCGAGGATGCTTGTCCATCTGTCCACCGCAGTCAGCAGGTTGGTTATACAAGAGTAACCCTTCCTGAAACCATGCTGTTGGGGTGAGAAGAAATTTAAGGACAGTAGGTAGTCATTTAAACCGTCGCATATCAGGGACTCCATGAGTTTTGAAGGTAACGACAGAAGAGCTACCGGCCGGTAACTTGAAGGTTCATTGCGTCGACCACCTTTGAAAATTGGTGTGATGTGAGCCAACTTCCAATTTTCCGGTAGTTTGCCTCGGCTAAGCGAGTGTGAAAACATCACGCTAAGCGGCGTTGCCAGGATTGAGGCTGCCTCCCTCAGTATGGCAGGATGAACCATATCCGGGCCAGGAGAAGTGTCAAGTCTTAAGTGCTGCAGTTTCCGGAACACCAAGTCAGCGCTTAGGTCCACTTCAGAAAGTCCTGTGGAATTGCAGATGAAACTGTCGTCAATAAAGTTGATATCAGCCGGTTGAAATGTTTGAGAGTAATGGGCCGCCAGAAGGTTAGCGGCGTCGCCATCGTTGTTGGTCGGGCCGTTAGGACCTAGCAGTTGAGAAACTCCTGTTTTGGCTTGACGAAGAGAGGCTGCATAACGGAATAGGCTTCTAGGGTTAGAGGCGAATTTGTCCATAAGCTTTGTTTGGTACTGAAGCCTGTCTTCTCTTATAGCCTTCGTGCATGTGTTCCTGATATGTTTGTATTGCCTATACGCTCCATCGTTATTAGTTCGTTTGTATTCCGCCCAACAGTGCCGTTTGCGGCTTAGGAGGCGAAGGGTACGGTTCTTGATTACTGTAGGTGGCTTGAAGCTTTTGGGAACCGTTTGAGGAACTGAATGGTTTGTAGCACGTAAGAGCGTGTGCAGCAAGAAGTCCCAATGACCATCCACATCGATTTGAGGGTGAACATCCCAAGCCACCTGTTGTAGATGGTCATGTAGAGCTCGCACATTCAGCCGTTTAAAATTCCATCGCAAATTATTGTTGGGATACCTTAGCTTAGTTTTGATGACAAAACTGAAGGCTATGACGGCATGATCGCTTTTTCCCAGAGGAGCCAGGATTGAGAGGTTGTCGACTAGGAATTCTTCGTTAGTGAATACACAGTCTAAGCGCGATGGTGTCTGACTGTTTCTCCAACGAGTTGCCGACCTCACATTTTCATATAAGCCCAAGTTATCGATGAGGTTGAAGAACCGAGCTTCAGTTGAGTTGTCGCCTCCAGTGTACGTGTGTTCCGCGAAGTTGACTCTAGGGAGATTAAAGTCCCCTAGAATCAGGATGTGTGTGAAACCGAGACGGATAGAGCGGGATAGTCCTTCCAGCATACGACTATCGTACTCGGTGTCGGCAGTTGGCTTCCTGTAAATGACTCCGACTAGACACCTGGAAGTACTAGACAACCTTACAGAGCACCATATGGATTCCTCAAGATTGTTAAACTCGAGGTTGTGAACCTGGTGCACCTCCAAGCAAGAGCTTATGTATATGGCTACTCCGCCCCCAATTCCTATTTTTCTGTCGTTGCGGAACAAAGTCATCCCAGGCAATGCTAACTCTTGATCCGAGAACTGAGAAGATGTCCAGGTTTCAGATATTCCTATCAGATGGGCCTTGTTAGCGTCGCTAAGTTCACGTAGTTCATCCAGTTTGTTTGGTAAACTCGCGGCGTTCGTATATAAGCAGTTTATGCTTTCAATTTGGAACGCATGAGCTTCGTCCTGTTTTTCTGTATGAACCTTATGTGAATGGACAGGTAGCCCACCTATATGAGGTTTGCCGAGGTGGTAGGCCCTGTCCTTTACACGTTTTTTTTATCGTTTAGACAGTCCACAAGTGGAATGGTCAGCTCCAGCTTGCCTTTGTTCTTGGTCCTGACTTCGTATGGCCTATCCGGGTGCATGTGGATTCCAGGTGGCAATCGACGTCTGTTGGCACGAAATGCTTCCAGAACTGCAGCCGCCATGTGAGAAGATGGGAAGGTTATCTTCATCAGACGAGGTCTAGGATCACCGTCCTTCTTGGCTAGTCTCGTCACATGCTGAGTCAGTATGTGTTTGAGCCTCAAGGACTGTTTGATGAATTTCCATTCCCTGATGTCAGAATTTGATTGAGTAGGGTCTGCATTTTCCGGTATACCTTGGACAATTATGTTTCTTCCGCGGAAGAACTTCTCGCGAGATTCTTTAGGGACGTTTCGTATGATATTGCGCTCAGAGTACGGTATGTCGGGCAATATTCTTACGTTACCATCTGATTTCAGTAAGTGACTTGCTAGCAAGACGTCCTCTACGTCGGTAGCCTCAGCTTACTATTCGGTTTTTTTTGTTTTACACGTATAGACTAGTTTCAGTTTATATCACTCGTTTTGTCCGTTTTTGTCCGTTTTCAGTGTGCATTTTAGTGTTTTTTTTAAAAGGTCTTAAGCTTTGCCAGCATCTATA